AAAATTAGCTGGGCATGGTGGCGTGTGCCTGTAATCCCAGCTACTCAGGAGGCTGAGGCAGGAGAATTGCCTGAACCCAGGAGGCGGAGGTTGCGGTGAGCCGAGATCGCGCCATTGCACTCCAGCCTGGGTAACAAGAGTGAAACTCCGTCAAAAAAAAAAAAAAAAGAATAAATCTGTCCCTCACATCATACCCAAAAGTGAATTCAAAATGGATGACAGACTTGAATGTAAGAGCTAAAACTATACATACTCCAGCACTATTCACAAGGGCTAAACTGTGGAAACAAATCTGCCAACAGACGATAAAGAAAATGTGGCATATATATATATAACAGAATACTATTCAGCCTTAATAAAAGAAAGCCGGGCGCGGTGGCTCAAGCCTGTAATCCCAGCACTTTGGGAGGCTGAGGCGGGTGGATCACGAGGTCAAGAGATGGAGACCATCCTGGTCAACAAGGTGAAACCCCGTCTCTACTAAAAATACAAAACATTAGCTGGGCGTGGTGGCACGTGCCTGTAATCCCAGCTACTCAGGAGGCTGAGGCAGGAGAATTGCCTGAACCCAGGAGGCGGAGGTTGTGGTGAGCCGAGATTGCGCCATTGCACTCCAGCCTGGGTAACAAGAGCGAAACTCCGTCTCAAAAAAAATAAAAAATAAAAAATAAAAAAAATAAAGAAATCCTGCAATACGTAACATGCACAAACCTAGAAAACTACACTAAGTGAGATCAGCTAGTCGCAGAAAGATGTATACTGCATGATTCTCCTTATATGAGGTATCAAAGCAGTCAAATTCATAGAAACAAAGAGTGGAATGGTGGTTACCACGGGCTGGGGACAGGGAGAAATGGGGAATTAATCAGTAGGCGTAGAGTTTCAGTCAAGTGAGATGAATACGCTCTAGAGATCTAAGGCCAGGCACAGTGGCTCACGCCTGTAATCCCAGCAGTTTGGGAGGCCCAGGTCGGGGGAGCGCTTGAAGCCAGGAGTTCAAAGCCAGCCTGGCCAACATGACAAAACCCTGGGCCTCTAAAAATACAAAAATGAGCATGGTGTGGTGGTGGGCACAAACCCAGCTACTAGGGAGGCTGAGGCAGGAGAATCACTTGAACCCAGGAGGCGGAGGTTGCAGTGAACCGAGATCGCACCACTGCACTCCAGCCTAGGCCACAGAGCTAGATTCTATCTCGAGAAAAAAAAAAAAGAAAGAAAATGTACAAATGGGCCGGGCGCGGTGGCTCAAGCCTGTAATCCCAGCACTTTGGGAGGCTGAGGCGGGCGGATCACGAGGTCAAGAGATCGAGACCATCCTGGTCAACATGGTGAAACCCCGTCTCTACTAAAAATACAAAAAATTAGCTGGGCATGGTGGCGCGTGCCTGTAATCCCAGCTACTCAGGAGGCTGAGGCAGGAGAATTGCCTGAACCCAGGAGGCGGAGGTTGCGGTGAGCCGAGATCGCGCCATTGCACTCCAGCCTGGGTAACAAGAGCGAAACTCCGTCTCAAAAAAAAAAAAAAAAAAAAAAAAAAAAAGAAAGAAAATGTACAAATGGCCAATAAGTACATGAAAGGATGCTCAACATCATTAGCTGTCACAGAAATGCAAATCAAAATCACAGAGAGATACCATTTCACACCCAACAGAACGGCTTTAATAAAAAAGACAGTAACAAGTGTGGACGAGGATGTAGAGATATTGGAACTCATACACGCCTGGTAGCCAGGTAAAATGGTACAGCCACTTTAGAGAACAGTCTGGCGGTTTCTCAAATGGTTAAATACAGAGTTACCAACAACTGCTCCTGCTCCTCTGATCCCCAGAGCCTCCCCACGTACCTGTTTCCTAAAACGGCCAACAAGTATCAAGCCAGGTCTACCTCCCATGGTCTCCATGCTCCTCTCTGAGGCCATCTCTTCCCTAATTCCAAACCCTTGGAACTGTATTTCATCCACTAAAACACTGGTTTTCTCTCTTCACTAGTTCTTCCCTGACAGGTGCAAAGTCTTCTGATTTTTCTCCTTGTTTTCTGCACATTCTTCCTCCACAAAATCCATGGGATCTTGTCCATGACAGCAGCTCCTATGACAACACCAAGTTCAAAGTCCTCTCTTTTCCCACCTAGAAGTAAACCAATCACCTCATGAAAGGGTAACTAACTTTTGCTGTAGATAAAGACCTATCCATCCTTCCTATCTGATACACCATTGGCCATAGACTAGCATACCTAAACGCCTAAACAGGTGAGAAACTAAAGAAAAGGTGGTATTGAAATCTCAGGTGAGCCGGGCGCGGTGGCTCAAGCCTGTAATCCCAGCACTTTGGGAGGCCGAGGCGGGTGGATCACAAGGTCGAGAGATCGAGACCAACCTGGTCAACATGGTGAAACCCCGTCTCTACTAAAAATACAAAAAATTAGCTGGGCATGGTGGCTCGTGCCTGTAATCCCAGCTACTCAGGAGGCTGAGGCAGGAGAATTGCCTGAACCCAGGAGGCGGAGGTTGCGGTGAGCCGAGATCGCGCCATTGCACTCCAGCCTGGGTAACAAGAGCGAAACTCCGTCTCAAAAAAAAAAAAAAAAGAAATCTCAGGTGAAAAAAATGTTAGAAAGCAGGCTTTTTCTGAAGGAAAGGAATCTCCGAAAAAAGTGCAGCGGTGCACCAAGAGCAATGTGGTCCTGATCCCTTAGACAAGGGCAGATTACACTCTTCTGGGCAGACGTCTCCAATTCCCAAATGGGGACACTGACGTACTAGACCTTACTGCAGACCAGGATGAAGCAATAAAACTTAGAGGACTAGTCACCTCTGAAACTTAGCCTACCCAGGGCAGTGGTGGGAAGTTCCCATGAGGTACATGTTTATTATGTCCAGAGGCACGGATCTTACTTAGAGTCAATGCCTTTCCAACTAGCCCTCAAACTTTCAACTTAGTTAGCAAAGAAAAAAGGTGACCACTTTGTCTAATACAGTAAGACTCACAGATACCTATCTGTCAGCTATTGAGAAGCTTCATACCCACATCTGGACAGACTCATGCCTGCCTATCAGAACACCATGCATCATACACACTCCCAGGACCTGACATGCATAGGCATATAACCCAGAGCATACGTTCACCTCTCACCGGACTATACTTCCCATCTATCCTCAGACTTGGCTGAGAGAGAGGACAAACAACAGGAGGCAAAGAAAACGAGACCAGCCACTCAGACACCACCATGGGCTGATTCACCTCCATGGTGCTAGACAATGAGCTGCATCTCTTGCTGTGACCACAGGCAAGCTAATCCTCCACCCGAGGCCTCCTTTTCTTCATGTGTAAAATAAGGGACCCAGGGTTCCTCACTGCTAGCTGTAATACTCCTGACTCTCAGGCCTCTACCAGTTCTCTACAGACAGGCTGCTTTCGGTGAGAAAGAGAACTGGCAGAGAGAGGCCTGATACAGTGAGGAGCAGGATGCAGAACAAAATCAAGGACTGACTTCCAGAAAGGGACATGGGGTTCATATTCTGACGACCCAGTTTCCCTGGAAATGTTGTCAGATGACCCCTGGGGCAGCAGGAAGCTCCAGTAACAAACTCTGCTGGACTGCCGGCCTGAAGCAGCTCCCAAAGGTCTGGCCGTTAAACCAGTGGTACTCCCTATGCCAGGAGGACCCTCACTAACACCAGGGATGACCATGAAAACAGTAACCGGTCCAAGACCAAGAAACCACAGAGACCTCAATTCACACATGCACTGTTCTAAATGACAGGTCAAGATCTAAAACCCTAGCTTGGATTACGGTTCATCGATCTCCACCCAAAGGCACCTTCAGCTCCTCTGCCAAAGCAATGCAAAGTCTTGCTGGCCCTCTTTGTCATCACTGGGTCTTGTGGGCAATTTAAAGTGCTCACAAGGGAAACTAAAGAATTGAAATCCAAGCTTGATCCTCCTCATTCCAAAATTTTTCTAGTTAGTGAAATTGGTGTTTCAGGTCCTTTTACTTCCTCTGCTCATTCCTAGTGTGAGGACAGATAACCAAATGGTCAGAAGGCAAGGAGCAAGTGGCTGGAAGAGGAAAAAGAAAGACCCTAAATACACAGCGCATAAACAGAGTCTTCCAGCTCAAACACTGTCAGGATCTAACTTCCTGGCAGGGGCTGTTGAACAATCTCTATTCACCCTAAGGACGCAGGGGACCTATCTCTCACATCTAGGAACATAACCCTATGCAGCATCACAACCTTCAGGCCATACAACAGATTAAGTCAACAGTCTTTGAAATGATCACTTTCGAAAACTATGGGAAGACATATTATTTCTAGTCTCTCCTTATAAGCAGGCATCCTATTCTCTCAAATGGTTAATAACCATTCTCTTCTCCCTAACCCAGAGACACCCGGGTTAAGCGTCTAGTTCAAGGAAGCCTGTGCATCTCCAGTTGATACATCTTGTTCAAGAGGAAAAAGGGAAACCCAGGGTGGAGTTCTACATCCAAGGGTAAGGAGGCCTGGAGGATGGGAAAATTTGAGCAGCCACACCAACCACACGATCCGAAAGAGAGGACTATTCGGGCAGGCCACTGCCACTTGCCCTGTCAACCGGACAGAGAACTGGCAGCCGGCTGTAAGGCACAAGGGGAAATACACATGCAACAAACAGGATGAGGGGAGAGGAGGAGAAGGAGCAGGGGTGAAAACGACTCCACTGCACCCAGGCCTTGCCTCTGCCCTCCTGGGGCTGCCCCAAGCGAGCACGCCACACGCAGGAAGCCAGAGGGGCTGGAGGGAAGGGGTGGTGGCGACGGCAGACCACAGACACCAGGCCTCGCGTGGCGTGCGGGGAGCGAACACGGGGCCGAAAGGCGTGCAAGGGTGGGGTGGGCGTGCAAGTGGCTTGGCGAGGGGTGGCAGGCGTCACCAGCACGGCCTGCGGAGCGAGGGCCCAGGGCTGCGGGGGGCGTGGGAGCGCGCGGGGCTGCGCTCCGAGGGGCGCGCGGGAGCTGGTTACCGTGTGGTTCACCCCCCACATCAGGACGCTGAGGATCGGCTCGCTGGCCCGGAATAGCTTCACTTTCTGGCACACGAAATGCTTCTTCTTGGTCTTGGTCTTGCTGGCGCTGAGCGGCGCCACCGCCACCGCCGTGGTGCTGGTGCAATTGGACGACATGCCCGGGGCGGCGGCGGCGGCGGCGGCGGCGAAAGGGGGGGGCAACGGAGACAGCGCACAAGCCAGCGGCCCCAGGCCTCCCCCGGACCGATCCCCACCCCCGCTCCCTCACCGCGCCATGGTCGCGCCCGTCCCGTTACCTCCCCACCCGGCCCCGGTGGTTCCGTCCGCCCCACGCCCCGCCCTCCCGCCCCGCCCCGGGGAGCCGGCAGGCCCGCTCCGCACCCTGCTCCGCACCCCGCTCCGCCCCCGGGCGGTGCCGCCGCCCAGCGGTCCCCAGGTCCCGTCCTCCCCGCCCGCGTGGTTCGGCCCGTCCCGGGGAGGCAGCGGTCGCCCCGCCCGCCTCTCCTCCCCGGGCCTGACAGGAACCCGCCTGGCTTCCGAACCGCGCCGGAGCGGGAAGGGGAGGAGGGCTGGGCAGGCGTCGCTGTGAACCGCGGGAGGGGCTCCCCACCCGGGCCCCGCAAAGCCAGGATTTGGCTCTTTCTCTCAACCCGAATGCCAAGATGGCGGCGGCGCCACAGCTCCGGAAGGGAAGGAGGGGCGGGAATGCGAGGAGGGCGGGTCGTACCATGCCCACCCCGGGGGAGAGGAAGTCCAGCCTGGAAATCCAAGGAACGCCCCCTCGCTCCACCCAGGCGTGGATCTGCCCACTCCCCTGGGCTCCGGGCGCCTTCCTCCCGCGGGGCACGCCCCTTTCCCCCAGGGCCAATGAGAGGAACAGGCCGGGAACCCTGGGTTTTATGAATGGGCCCCGCGCCCATCCACCTGCTGCCAGGTCTCCCGGCAAAGGGTCAGAGGTCAGAGGCCGCCAGCACCTTCAGTCACCTATCCCACTAGTCGTCTTACTCTCTGACTCCTTTTGTAAAATCTTCGAGTAAACTGCCCCACACTTTGTTACATAATTCTCGGATGAGGGATCTCCATATATTCGACACAAATCACAGATCAACATTGCTCTTTGGAATGTATGGGAATTCGTAAACACGGTACTCCGCAGGTGGTCTCTCTTTAAACAGTTACAAAAATAAACGTAGGCTTTATTACCAATTAATAAAATAAACATAACCCCTGCATAGGGAAGCATGATGAGGTGATTAAATGAATAAAAACTTACGTTACATTCTCTAGGGAAAGATCGGGTTTCGAGCATTACAGTGCCTGGCATCATAAGTGTTCAAAAATGGAAAACCAAATACATTTTAAGCAGAATCAGTAATGAGCAGAACAGGAAATCGCCCAGGTAGTGTGGGGGTCAAGAGGGCCTAGTAGTTCACTGGTCAAATGAGGGCTTCTAGTGAAAGAACAGAGAAGGGAAAAGGAGTAAAGACAAGCAAGTGGCCCCTTGAGGGTTTGGCTGTTTTAGTACCTGACTGAAAAAGTCTAGCAAACAATTGAAAATCTAGAAACGAAGCCGCGAAATAACCTTCCATTTTATTTTCCTTTCAGAGCCATGGGGCATATTGGCAATTTGGTCCTGACTCCTAAAATCATTTTACTATACCTTTACACTGCCTACATTGGCGACTACAAGCAGTGGAAAAGGACAGATACTCTAGATCCTGTCGATAAACCCAGGCTCCTCCTAAACCAGCCAGACTCAAGAGAGAAAAATGCTTATTGTATTCTTGCCATCAAAGTTCAATGTGTTTCTTTTTTTTTTTTTTTTTGAGACGGAGTCTTGCTCGTTGCCAGGCTGGAGTGCAGTGGCTTGATCTCCACTCACCACAGCCTCTGCTCCCCGGGTTCAAGCGATTCTTCTGCCTCAGCCTCCCAAGTAGCTGGGACTACAGGTGCATGCCACCATGCCCAGCTAATTTTTGTATTTTTAGTAAAGACGGGTTTTCACCACGTTGGCCAGGATGGTCTCGATCTCCTGACCTTGTGATCCGCCCTCCGCGGCCTCCCAAAGTGCTGGGATTACAGGCGTGAGTCACCGTGCCTGACCCAATGTTTTTCTATTACAGAGTAAAGTCATATACCAAACGGTATTCTCACAAAGCTAACCTTTTTTAAAAGCATGTAGAAATTATACATTTGTACATACACACATTATACTTTTACATCCAAAGATCAAATGGCTAACAGTTCATTCAGAGCCTTTTGTAGTTTGATTTTCCAGATTCTGTCACTCCCTTGGCTTTGCCCTCACCTGACATCATTGTGCCACATTATCTTCTAAATCAGGCGTCCCCAAACTTTTTACACAGGGGGCCAGTTCACTGTCCCTCAGACCATTGAGGGCCGCCACATACTGTGCTCCTCTCACTGACCACCAATGAAAGAGGTGCCCTTTCTGAAGTGCAGCGGGGGGCTGGATAAATGGCCTCAGGGGGCCGCATGCGGCCCGCGGGCCGTAGTTTGGGGACACCTGTTCTAAATCAAGTAAATGTTCATTTGGCTCCGTAAGCACTATCTATCTGGGTGACATGACACTGGTTTCTGAAAGGCCTGGTCTACACTAAAGCAGTGGAATAGGTCTGTTGGCACAGATAAGAGGGAAGCGGCATGATCAACATCACAGCCCCAGGGAACAGCCTTCTAGAGCGGAACAAGCACTTCCACCAAGACGGTCCAGTGCTCACCCCTTAAAAACAGTCAAAACCCAAAGTTACTGAGTGTCCCACAAAGCACATCACACTGGCTCTCAAAGGAAGTGAGCTGTTTCAGGACTCGATGGAACAGGGTCACTTTGAACAGTGGTGGTTTGACATCTGTGAAAGAAGTCAGTTGAACTCTTATAAAGAGAATTAAGGGGTCAGTAGCTTCCCTGGAAAATGCAGGAAAACCAGTGAGAGAGGGGACAGTTTTCATCTTTTCATAAAGTTCTTCTCCAGAGCTACAGAAGTTCTCTGAAGAGAGTAGATATTCCGCTTCACCCGGTCCTCCAGGGAGGAAGTAGATGCACTCTCCAGCTTCATGCGGCTAGGAAGAGAAGACAGGCAGATAGAGGTCAAAAATATTTCCAGTCAACTATTCCGGCAGCTTTGGAAGAAATGGGTTGTTGGCCGCAGAGCAGCTGTAGATACACAACCTCTTTTAAGCCCCTATAGATAACTTTCGAGTGAATCCACCTGGAACCAAATGTTTTTAAGCCAGTGTCCATAAGGGAAAATGTATCTCTTTTGGAAAATAAATCAAAGCCTCATTGGGAAAAGGCTTCCTGGGCCATGAATTCTTATTTAAAAGGAAGGTCAAGGAATTTCAATGATTTAGAAGATACCAGTTCACTTCTCCTCCCCTCAAATGAAAAACACCCCACTGTGTGGTCAGAAATGGTGAGTAGTAAGTAGCAAAGGTAGTCTGCAGGCTGCGCTCCATGGGCAGACACAGAAACACTGGTGAACCAGCTGCCAGCCTGTCATCTCAAGACCATCCCCGTGAAAGCCCCCGGCAGGAAAGAGAGGCACTCACTGCATGAACTTCCCATCCCGAGAGTCCAGCTTCTCCAGCCTCTGCTCCCGTTCCTCATCCTTAGCGTGCCTCTTGAGGATGTTCAGTCTCTCCTCCTCCCGCCATTTGGCGTTTTCCATCATCTCTTGCCGTTTTCGCTCTAATTCCTCTGCGGAGAGTTTTCTGTAGAGCACAGAAATCATCTGATCAGGTCTCTCCCAGCAAAAAAAAAAAAAAAAACAAAAACCAGAAGCAGTACAAGAAGCACAGAAGCCAGGTAGGACCCGAGCTCTCCAGTTCACTGCTCTCTCTAAGTCCAGCCTGAGTTCCCTTCTAATGTCCTGGTCAGGTGGTTTCATCCAAATTCCAAAAGCTTTTAGTAAAGAATTCCATAATCTCACTCATTAATATCTAGAGTGATTATTCTGAAATAGGAATCAACTGGGAACTCATCGGGAACCCAAACCTGTAGTAATTATATCCCAATGGTTTCCTCAACAAGTTACAGAACAGGGGACTAGGTTATCCATGTAACTGTTAATATCTACCACCTAACTACCCATTGGAGACTTGAAATTCATGACACAGCCCATAAATACACTAATTTAGGACTAAGCTAGAAGCCAGAAGCTGAGGAATAACTTAGCCTCAGAAAATAATAAGTCTGCACAGTGGCACGCGCCTGTAATCCCAGCACTTTGGGAGGCCGAGGCGGGTCGATCACCTGAGGTCAGTGGTTCAAGACCAGCCTGACCAACATGGTAAAACCCTGTCTCTACTAAAAATACAAAAATTAGCCAGGCGTGGTGGTGGGTGCCTGTAATCCCAGCTACTCAAGAGGCTGAGGCAGGAGAATCACTTGAACCTGGGAGGCAGAGGTTGCAGTGAGCTAAGATCACACCATTGCACTACAGCCTGGGTGACAGAGGAAGACTTCATCTCAAAAACAAATCAATAAATAAAAAACAAAGCCGGGCGCGGTGGCTCATGCCTGTAATCCTAGCACTTTGGGAGGCTGAGGTAGGTGGATCACCTGAGGTCAGGCGTTCAAAACCAGCCTGGCCATCATGGTGAAACCCCATCTTTAAAAAGGAAAAAAAAAAATTAAAAGTAAAAATAATAAATAATAAATAGGGCCAGGCGTGCTGGCTCATGCCTGTAGTCCCACCGAGCACTTTGGGAGGCTGAGGTGGGTGGATCATTTGAGGTCAGGAGTTCTGGACCAGTCCGGCTAACATGGTGAAAACCTGTCTCTACTAAAAATGTAAAAATTAGCACCTGGAATCCCAGCTACTTAGGAGGCTGAGGCAAGAGAATTGCTTGAACCCAGGAGGTGGAGGTTGCAGTGAGCCGAGATTGTGTCACTGTACTCCATCTCAAAAAAAAAAAGAAAGAAAATGATAAATAGGTAGATGTTCTTTCCCTGACACTCACTGCAAACGAAATTAGAGCAAAAAAAAGGAGGTGGCTGGGCACGGTGGCTCACACCTGTAATCCCAGCGCTTTGGAAGGCTGAGGCACATGGATCACTTGACTTCAGGAGTTCGAAACCATCCTGGCCAACATGGTGAAACCCCCGTCTCTACTAAAATAAAAAAGTAGCTGGGCATGGTGGCAGGCACCTGTAATCCCAGCTACTTGGAAGGCTGAGGCAGGAGAATCACTTGAACCCAGAAGGCAGAAGTTGCAGTGAGCCGAGATCATGCCACTGTACTCCAGCCTAGGCAACAGAGTAAGACTCCATCTCAAAAAAAAAAAAAAAAAAAAAAAGGCCGGGCGCAGTGGCTCAAGCCTGTAATCCCAGCACTTTGGGAGGCCGAGGCGGGTGGATCACAAGGTCGAGAGATCGAGACCAACCTGGTCAACATGGTGAAACCCCGTCTCTACTAAAAATACAAAAAAAAAATTAGCTGGGCATGGTGGCGCGCGCCTGTAATCCCAGCTACTCAGGAGGCTGAGGCAGGAGAATTGCCTGAACCCAGGAGGCGGAGGTTGCGGTGAGCTGAGATCGCGCCATTGCACTCCAGCCTGGGTAACAAGAGCGAAACTCCGTCTCAAAAAAAAAAAAAAAAAGGAAAAGAAAAGGAGGTGATGAACCAATTAGTCACTGTCTAACAATGTCAGACATCCAAATCCACTGATTCCCAAATGGATGCGATATGCAAGTCCCCCTTTAAGAGGAAAAATAATTCTTGAAGTCCAGTAAGAGAATGAGAGCCCATTTTGAGAAACAAAACTAAAATATTAAAACCTGCCATGTAGTTTACAGGGAAATGACTGCAATTCCTTAAAAAAAAAAAAAAAAAAAAAAAAAAAAAAAAAACTCCACTAAATAAAACATATAAACCCAGGCACGGTGGCTCACATCTGTAATCCTAATACTGTGAGAGGCCTAGACAGGCAGATTGCTTGAGCCTAGGAGTTCAAGACAGCCTGGGCAACATGACGAAACCCCATTTCTACAAAAAATACAAAAAAATTAGCCTGGTGTGGTGGTGCACACCTGTAGTTCCAGCTACTCAGGATGCTGAGGTGGGAGAATCACCTGAGGTGGGAAGCTGAGGCTGCAGTGAGCCCTGATCATGCTGCCCCATTCTAGCCTGGGCAACAGAGTGAGACCCTGCCTCAAAAATAAACAAAGAATGCAAGAGGAGATAACACTGAGTAAGAGATGTGAACAAACTGTTGGAAGATGAAAGTGGACAAAGGAGTGGTGACTACTTCAACAAATTAAAAGAAACTGAACCCAGAGTGCCCTAAACTGATGAGAAACAAGTGGATTCCCAATGCAAAATCTGAGAAAGGCTCAGGGACTTCAGATGCAGAGCACGTCAGAGGATGTTAACAAAGTAGAGGGCTGAAAACAAAAGGACGCATTTAAAATCTGCATAGGGAGCAACTAGGACACCCCTGGGTCCTCATGCATAACGTGAGACCACTCTCCCAAAAATGTACAGGAGAGCCTGTGGTTTACCCTGTGGGGAAACTGAACCAGACAGAAGATCAGAAGATGCAAAGGCACCAGTCACAGCAGACAAAGCTGGAAGGGCCACCAGACTGCAAACAGGGAATGAAGTACAAGTCCATATACTCAATACCGAGACTCCCAGATCCTGCCGGGATCTGTGCGCTCTCTCCAAACACCAGCAGCCAAATTTATAGTCCTAAGTCCAGCGACCAGAGGGTTTTTTTCTGGAGAAATTGATTGATTCTTTAACAAGACAATCAAAGATATTAATGAATGAGTGTCCCCCAGCTAAAAACCAGTTCGAACCCAATCACCTACCAGTAAACAAGCCCTGACAATACATATACCGCATTGAGCTTTTCAATGTCTCACTCTTTTTTTTTTGAGACGGAGTTTCGCTCTTGTTACCCAGGCTGGAGTGCAATGGCGCGATCTCGGCTCACCGCCACCTCCGCCTCCTGGGTTCAGGCAATTCTCCTGCCTCAGTCTCCTGAGTAGCTAGGATTACAGGCACGTGCCACCATGCCCAGCTAATTTTTTGTATTTTTAGTAGAGACGGGGTTTCACCATGTTGACCAGGATGGTCTCGATCTCTTGACCTCGTGATTCACCCGCCTCGGCCTCCCAAAGTGCTGGGATTACAGGCTTGAGCCACCGCGCCCGGCCTGAATGTCTCACTCTTAAATGTGAAGAGACTGTGAAATGCCACTAGACAGTTCAGGAAAGCCTCCAACATGAAAGACAGAGACCAAAACAAATGGAAAAGGGAACACAGAGAAAAAGAAGACACAGCATAAAACAAAAGTTTCGCTCTTGTTGCCCAGGCTGGAGTGCAACGGTGCAATCTCAGCTCTCCGCAACCTCTGCCTCCCAGTTTCAAGCAATTCTCCTGCCTCGGCCTCCCAAGTAGCTGGGATTACAGGCGTGTGCTACCATGCCTGGCTAATTTTTTGGTATTTTCAGTAGAGGGGGTTTCTCTGGGCTGGTCTTAAAACTCCCAACCTCAGATGATCTGCCCACCCCAGCCTCCCACAGTGCTGGGATTACAGGCATGAGCCACCACACCTGGCACAAAACTTTTTTAAAATTTACTATTAAAGCTGGGCATGGTGGCTCACGTCTGTAATCCCAACCCTTTGGGAGGATGAGGTGGGTGGGTCACGAAGTCAGGAGTTGGAGACCAGGCGGTGAAAACCCAGTCTCTCTTAAAATACCAACAATTAGCCCATCATGGTAGAGCTCGCCTGTAATCCCAGCTACTGGGGAGGCTGAAGCAGGAGAATTGCTTGAACCCAGGAGGCGGAGGTTGCAGTGAGCCGAGATCATGCCACTGCACTCCAGCCTGGGCGATGGAGCCAGACTCTGCCTTTAAAAATAAAAAAAAAAAAAGCCGGCGCCGGGCGCGGTGGCTCAAGCCTGTAATCCCAGCACTTTGGGAGGCCGAGGCGGGTGGATCACGAAGTCGAGAGTTCGAGACCATCCTGGTCAACATGGTGAAACCCCGTCTCTACTAAAAATACAAAAAATCAGCTGGGCATGGTGGCGTGTGCCTATAATCCCAGCTACTCAGGAGGCTGAGGCAGGAGAATTGCCTGAACCCAGGAGGCGGAGGTTGCGCTGAGCCGAGATCGCGCCATTGCACTCCAGCCTGCAGCCTGGGTAACGAGAGCGAAACTCCGCCTCAAAAAAAAAAAAAAAAAAAAAAAAAAAAAAAAAAAAAAGCCGGGCGCGGTGGCTCAAGCCTGTAATCCCAGCACTTTGGGAGGCCGAGGCGGGTGGATCACGAGGTTAAGAGATCGAGACCATCCTGGTCAACATGGTGAAACCCCGTCTCTACTAAAAATACAAAAAATTAGCTGGGCAAGGTGGCGTGTGCCTGTAATCCCAGCTACTCAGGAGGCTGAGGCAGGAGAATTGCCTGAACCCAGGAAGCGGAGGTTGCAGTGAGCCAAGATCGCGCCATTGCACTCCAGCCTGGGTAACAAGAGAGAAACTCCGTCTCCAAAAAATAAATAAATAAATAAAAATTAAAAAAAAAATTTACTATTAAAAGCCCAAAACAAGTAGGGTGCGGTGTCTCACAACTGTACTCCCAGCACTTTGGGAGGCTGAGATGGACAAATCACTTGCAAGCAAGAGTTCAAGACAAGCCTGAGCAACATGACAAAGCCCATCTCTACTAAAATCCAAAAATTAGCCACGCGTGGTGGCTTATGCTTATAGTCCCGGCTACACAGGAGGCTGAGGTGGGAGACCATCTGAGCCTAGGGAGGTCGAGGTTATGGTGGGTCAAGCTCATATCACTGCATTCCAGCCTGGACAAGAGAGTGATGAGACCCCCCCATCTCAAAATTTAAGAAAACTCCACAAACAAAAAGCAATTTACTTTTTTTCTTTTTTTTTTTTTTGAGACAGAGTCTTACTCTGTCGCCCAGGCTAGAATACAATGGTGCAATCTCAGCTCACTGCAACCTCTGCCTCCCGGGTTCAAGCGATTCTCCTGCCTCAGCCTCTTAAGCAGCTGAGATACCAGGCACGTGCTACGACACCCAGCTAATTTTTGTATTTTTAGTAGAGACAGGGTTTCACCATGTTGGTCAGCCTGGTCTTGAACTCCTGACCTCGTGGTCTGCCCACCTCAGCCTCCCAAAGTGCTGGGATTACAGGCATGAGCCACCGCACCCAGCACAATTTACTATTAAAAATCTGACTCAGGCCGGGCGCGGTGGCTCAAGCCTGTAATCCCAGCACTTTGGGAGGCCAAGGCAGGTGGATCACGAGGTCAAGAGATCGAGACCATCCTGGTCAACATGGTGAAACCCCGTCTCTACTAAAAATACAAAAAATTAGCTGGGCATGGTGGTGCGTGCCTGTTAATCCCAGCTACTCAGGAGACTGAGGCAGGAGAATTGCCTGAACCCAGGAGGCGGAGGTTGCGGTGAGCGGAGATCGCACCATTGCACTCCAGCCTGGGCAACAAGAGAGAAATTCAAAATTTCTCTCAAAAAAAAAAAAAAATCTGACTCAGAGGCTGGGCACGGTGGCTCACACCTGTAATCCCAGCCCTGACTCAGAGACAATAAATGAAAGATACTAGAGCATTCGAATGAGAGAGTAGGAGGATTTTTTAAAAAGATGGCCAGGCACAGTGCTCTAGCCCATAATCCTAGCACTTTGGGAGGCTGAGGCAGGAAGATTGCTTGAGTCCAGGGATTCGAGACAAGCCTAGACAACAAAGTGAGACCTCATCTTTACAAATTTTTTATTTTAATTAGCTGGGCATAGTAACACACACCTATAGCCTCAGCTATTTGGAAGGCTGAGGTAGGAGGATCACTTGAACTTGGGAATCTGAGGCTACGGTGAGCCATGATGGCCCCACTGCATTCCAAACTAAGCAAAAGAGTGAGACCTTGTAGGGAAAATAAAGAGGTTATCAAAGAAATAATACAAGAAAATTTCCTGGAACTCAAAGACATGGTTTAGATTGCAAGAAGCAAATACTGACACTAGGAAAAAATATACAAATCATACAAGAAAGGAAATGTAATCTCTGTATTCTGCTTAGCTTAGCAATGAAAAGTATCAGTAAATAATATTTAAATATCATTCAAGTATAAATCCACATACTGACTCAACCAAAAATTCACTCTTGTAGCCCAGGCTCACTGCAACCTCCACCTCCTGGGTTCAAGCAATATATATATATAAAACCATACTAGAAAGATAGGGATAGAAGAAACATGAGACTAGGAGTATATGAGAGCTCATTTACACTAAGATATTATTTACTCTAATAGTAAGAAAATACCTAAGATCTGGCCGAGTGTGGTGGCTAACACCTTAATCCTAATACTTTGGGAGGACAAGAAGGGTGGACTGCCTGAGCTCTGGAGTCTGAGACCAGCCTGGGCAACACGGTGAAACCCCATCTATACTAAAGATACAAAAGTTAGCTGGGCATAGTGGTGTGTGCCTGTAGTCCCAACTACTTGAGAGGCTGAGGCAAGAGAATCACTTGAACCCGGGAGGCAGAGGTGGCAGTGAGCAGAGATTGTACGGCTGCAATCCAGCCTGGGCAACAAGAGTGAAACTTTGTCTCAACAAAAAAAAAAAAAAAAAAAAAGATACCGATGTCTGGTCCATTCCCAGATATGATGTAATAGAGCTGGGGAATAGCTGCGGAATGAGATGATTTTTCTTTTAGGCTTCCCAGATTCTAATATGCAGCCAATTTGTTTGGAAACACTGGTCTATATAACCATGGGCAATAAAAGTTAAGTTCACAAAAGTTGCCCACCTAATCTAAACTTACACTAAGAGCAACCTAGACACCCAGTGACAGCCTTTCATGGGCAGAGCCACCTCTCCTTGGGTTCCAGGGCTGCAACACCCCTGTGCTCTGTCTGACCCCTGCAAAGGCAACTCAAACTCAAAGGACATCTGCCCTGAAGGAGAGCACCCTGCCTTTCAGCTGATGCCTCGAGAAGGAACACTCCATTAAGCAAAGCTTCACTGTGGAAATCTCTATGAGAATTAACATGTGCCGGGCGCGGTGGCTCAAGCCTATAATCCCAGCACTTTGGGAGGCCAAGGCGGTTGGGTCACGAGGTCAAGAGATCGAGACCATCCTGGTCAACATGGTGAAACCTCGTCTCTAAAAATACAAAAAATTAGCTGGGCATGGTGGCGCGTGCCTGTAATCCCAGCTACTCAGGAGGCTGAGGCAGGAGAATTGCCTGAACCCAGGAGGCGGAGGTTGCAATGAGCCGAGATCGCGCCATTGCACTCCAGCCTGGGTAACAAGAGCGAAACTCCACCTCAAAAAAAAAAAAAAAAAAAAAAAAAAAGAATTAACACGTTTACTGAGGAAGAGACAGACAACTTACACAATTGTTCATTATGTCAAAACCATTTACCTTGTCCTTTCTTTTTTTTTTTTTTTGAGACAGAGTTTCACTCTTGTTACCCAGGCTGGAGTGCAGTGGCACAATCGTGGCTCATTGCAACCTCCACCTCCTGGGTTCAAGCAATTCTCCCGTCTCAGCCTCCCAAATAGATGGGATTACAGGCATGTGCCACCATCTCCAACTAATTTTGTATTTTTAGTAGAGATGGGGTTTCACCATGTTGGTCAGGCTGGTCTCAAACTCCTGACCTCAGGTGATCCACCTGCCTTGGCCTCCCAAAGTGCTGGGATTACAGGTATAAGCCACCATGCCCAGCCTTATCTTGTCCTTTCAATGTGCTTCACATGGCCCAGGGTAGGGGATGCAGATCCTTACAGGTGGCAAGATAAGTAAAAGTTGGTTTGTCAAAGAGGTAATGATCGATTATCCATTTGCCCTGGTTTGAGCCCATTCTAGATTCAGGCCTACAGAATGCGAAGTTAATCAACTGGGCTCCTGACTCACCTGGTATATCCGGGAGCGTGTCGCCTTTGGTAGACCTCTTTTTTAGGTGATGGGCTCCTAGTTTGGCCTGTCTCTCTCCTGTTCACCTTAGAGTTGTGCCTGTAACAGACATAGAGCACAGTGAGGAAAAAGCCTTTTTAATCCAGGGGCTTACACGGAATCCCTCAAACAATGGAAGATAAGCTAATGGTCTCAGAGATATAATCTAAGCAGAGGGCACAAGTGTGAGAAAAACAATGGTATAGAGTTTGATGTCAGACTCACCCCAGAGCTCCCAAAGCACGGTATACACCTACAGATATGTGGCTCTGGAGGCCTGAGCTTTACATTGAAGTGCAAAAAGAATGATGTAAAGGAAATACCAAAGCAAAGACATCTGAGAAAGTTGATGGACGGATACCAACGAAAGCAAAAGCAAATGCCTGCTGGGGCCAGGCCTCCACAGTCTTGGGTTATTCCCCAGTGAATCCCACACTCACAGTTTGCCGGGCCTTGGGGACCATGACCTTCTGCCTGGGGATCGAGACCTCCTGTCCCGGGACCCTGCTTCCCTGATGCTTTTCTTGCTGGCATGTCTGGGGGGTGAATGGGAGGAGCTTCTGGATCTGGAATGGTTCTTCATCCCATGCCCTTTCTTTGTCTCAGCTGTCAGAGGACCCTGAAGTCTGTGGTTACGGTCAGAGTTCCTGACCTACATCATTAAGGAAAAGAGAAGTTATTCATACGGAAAATCTAGCTATTCAGGAGAAAATGCAGTGAAACAGGAGATGTTACATAAGGAGCTCACTGGGCACACCGATTATCATCACATAGAATTATCACAGAGAGGGCCGGGCGCGGTGGCTCAAGCCTGTAATCCCAGCACTTTGGGAGGCCGAGGCAGGTGGATCACGAGGTCAAGAGATGGAGACCATCCTGGTCAACATGGTGAAACCCCGTCTCTACTAAAAATACAAAAATTAGCTGGGCGTGGTGGCGCCTGCCTGTAATCCCAGCTCGGGAGGCTGAGGCAGGAGAATTGCTTGAACCCAGGAGGCGGAGGTTGCAGTGAGCCGATCGCGCCATTGCACTCCAGCCTGAGTAACAAGAGCGAAACTCCATCTCAAAAAAAAAAAAAAAAAAAGAATTATCACAGAGAATTGTACAAACTTAGGAACGTTATCTGCAGCATCCCCTAAAAGAATCTATGGACAGCCAGTTGCAGTCGCTCACACCTTTAATCCCAACACTCTGGGAGATGGAAGCAGGAGGACTTCTTGAGCTCAGGGGTTCGACAAGACCCAGAGCAACTAGTGAGACCCTGTGCCTACAAAATATTTTAAAATTAGCTGAGTGTGGTGGCACATGCCTGTATTCCCAGCTACCCAGGAGGATGACAAAGGAGGATCCCTTGAGCCTAGGAGGTAGAGACAGCAGTGAGTGTGATCACACGACTGCACTCCAACCTAGATAACAGCAAGACCCTGTCTCAGAAAAAAAAAAAAAAAAAAAAAAGAATTATAAGAATATACCTGGTTTGGCTCTTCACTACAGGTTAAGGAAGAGCAAGAGTCAAAAGCATGAACGACAGGACCTAAAGTTAAAAATACAGAAATACAGCCGGGCGCAGTGGCTCACCCCTGTAATCCCAGCACTTTGGGAGGCCAAGGCAGGTGGATCACCTGAGGTCAGGAGTTCTAGACCATCCTGAACAACATGGAGAAACCTCGTCTCTACTAAAAACATAAAATTAGCCGGGCATGGTGGCACATGCCTGTAATCCCAGTACTCAGGAGGCTGAGGCAGGAGAGTTGCTTGAAGCCAGGAGGCAGAGGTTGCAGAGAGCCAATATTGTGCCATTGCACTCCAGTGTGGGCAACGAAAGCAAAACTCCACCTTAAAAACAACAACAACAACAACAACAAAAAACAGAAATGCAGAAGGCAAGCCAGGTGCCTCGAGCCTGTAGTTCCAGCTACTCAGGAAGATTGCTTTAGCTCAGGAGTTCGAGCACAGCCTTAGCAAAATAATGAGGCACTGGTACTTTAAAAAACAAAACAAAACAAAACAGCAGATTTACCTCATCAACCTATACACTTAGAATGTGTGCATTTCATGTATATTATTTGTAGAGGGATGGGTAGAATGTCTCAATGCCCCATTGGTGGTCTAGTCTCTCTGCTCAGAGGATCGTCAGCCACAAGAAGATGCTCAGGGATAGGAAATGGGCCTGTTTCCCAGGAGCCCCAGCCCTCACTGCCCCTCCCTGCTATCCATGTTGTCCAAGTGGTGCACTCCACAGTTCCAGTCCCTACTTTCAAGGAGCCCACATCCCTACCTGTAAGCCATATCCAGGGACTTTGGACAAAACGGGGGAGGAATTTGCCGTTTTCTTTTGAGATCTAAGAGATTAAAATACACACACTCATTGAAAAGGAAAATACAGGTCCAATTTACGTATCTTATGTTGAACCATGCTTCTTGCTTCCAACGTGACCTTTCCACCTCCTAGCTGTTACTTGACAGCATGTTTCTCTATTTGGGCTGTCTATGCCGAAAGATGCATCAGCACAGTCCAATTTTCCTGTGAAAAACTGTGGGCCTCGCTTCTAAGCCCCAGCGCCTGAGCACATTCTCCTCTCACTTCATGCTGCTATTCCAGGGACGAATAGTGACTCAGCAGCAGCAAAGCTGACTGCTCCCACGGGGACATGAAGAATGGGCCCACATGGGCCACCAGCCAATTAACAAAAGCCTGTAGAAAGCCACCTTCAGTCTTGGAGGAATCCTAAGCTGTGATGAAACAGAGTCACCCCCAGGATGTTTGGCCTACCTAAGACCTACTGGGCTAACGTCAGCAACATTAGGGGTCTCTCTCCAGCAGCATGGCCAAGAGACCCACTCACATTTAGCATCTCCAAGGAACTCCAACATGAGATGGCAAGCTCTGTGGGCACAGGGCCCATGTTGTTGGAGTGTTCGCCACTGAAACCTCAGTACCTGGCAGCTCCCAGCACTGGGCAGGTGTTCGTGTCTGTGGCATGAATGAGTGAACGATCAAGTGAATCAACGATGAGGGAGGCTGGCCGCCACATGCTCACCTCCCCGCACTGTGCTCATCCTCACTGCTGGAACGATCGCTACTCGAGCTTCTGTGCTTGTGTTTCTTGTGCTTCTTTTTCTTCTCCTTCTTTTTCTTCTTCTCCTTTTTTTCCAGACTCATTTGCAACTGGAAAGTGCCGAGAACACAAACACGTAAGATTGCTGGGACCAGCCGGGAACAGTGGTTCAGGCCCGTAATCCCAGCCCTTTGGGAAGCCAAGGCAAGCAGATCACTTGAGGTCCGGAATTCGAGGCCAGCCTGGCCAACATGGTGAAACCGTGTCTCTACTAAAAATACAAAAATTAACTGGGCGTGGTGGCAGGTACCTGTAATCCTAGCTACTTGGGAAGCTGAGACACGAGAATCACTTGAACTGGGGAGCAGAGGTTACAGTGGGCCAAGATCGTGCCACTGCACTCCAGCCAGGCAACAGAATGAAACTGTGTCTTAGGCCGGGAGAAGTGGCTCACACCTGTAATCCCAGCACTTTGGGAGGCTGAGACGGGTGGATCACAAGGTCAGGAGATCAAGACCATCCTGGCCAAAATGGTGAAACCCTGTCTCTTAAAAAAAAAGAAACAGTGCCTCAAAAAAAAGATTACTGAGGGGTCTGCAGAGTCCAGGACATTATCAGGGGTTCCCTGTCAGCAAACCAGGGAAAGGGTCTTAACCCCGGCTGTGCAATAACACCTCAACTACCAAACAGGTACCTGGTAGGTGAGGCTAAGAATTTGTGGGGGTTTTTTTGTTTTTTTTTTTGAGACGGAGTTTCACTCTTGTTACCCAGGCTAGAGGGCAATGGTGCAATCTCGGCTCACTGCAACCTCCGCCTCCTGGGTTCAGGCGATTCTCCTGCCTCAGCCTCCTGAGTAGCTGGGATTACAGGCACGCGCCACCATGCCCAGCTAATTTTTGTATTTTTAGTAGAGACGGGGTTTCACCACATTGACCAGGATGGTCTCGATCTGTTGACCTCGTGATCCACCCACCTCGGCCTCCCAAAGTGCTGGGATTACAGGCGTGAGCCACAGCGCCCGGCCAAATCTGTGTTTTTAAACAGTCACCAAAACCACTGCCTAGGAGTTTCCATTCTGTGCCAAAGGACCTCCGACTCCACTGAAAGCAGTCAGGAACTACAAGGTCAATCTTTAATTTTCTTTACCAACTGATCCAAGACACAGTCACAGAATATGTCATGTGAATGATAAGCGGGCCCTAGAAGCTTTATACCACGAGCGAGGGCATCCTCCAATCTCCTGAACACACTGCATCATAATGCTGTCCAGAGGCTTAGCCCACACTCTTTTTCCGGAAAAATGACATCACAGGGTGCATTCTCCCACCCAAAAGACTTAACTAAAACCAAGCTTAATTAAGCTTAATAAATTAAGATTCCATAAAACATCAGGAGGCTGAGGCAGGAGAATTGCCTGAACCCAGGAGGCGGAGGTTGCGGTGAGCCGAGATCGCGCCATTGCACTCCAGCCTGGGTAACAAGAGTGAAACTCCGTCTCAAAAAAAAAAAAAAAAAGATTCCATAAAACAGCCAGGATATGGTCTCTAAAAGACAAAAGGTTTAGGGGCCATTCTGTTTTCCCTCTGGTAAGGCGAGAGTCAGTGGAGAGAGGTTCTCACACGACATGGCTGAAAGATGCTCGTGGTGCTTATCTGATACACTACTTACCAATTCTTTGATTTTCTTCATTTTCACTGGATTATTTAATACCTCTCGTTTTTTCTCCTCCTCCTTCTTCCTAAATAGAGATAATTTATAAAAATCATGACTATTTCTTTTCTCCAAATTCTGTGGAGTAACCTTTTCTCCAAACATACACAGACAGGCCCATTTTTTTTTTTTTTTTGAGACGGAGTTTCGCTCTTGTTACCCAGGATGGAGTGCAATGGCGCGATCTCGGCTCACTGCAACCTCCGTCTCCTGGGTTCAGGCAATTCTCCTGCCTCAGCCTCCTGAGTAGCTGGGATTACAGGCACGAGCCACCATGCCCAGCTAATTTTTTGTATTTTTTTTTAGTAGAGACGGCATTTCACCATGTTGACCAGGAGAGTCTCGATCTCTTGACCTCGTGATCCACCTGCCTCAGCCTCCCAAAGTGCTGGGATTACAGGCTTGAGCCACCGCGCCCGGACAGGCCCATTTTTAAATCTACATCATTAGCTGGGTGTGGTGGCATGCGCTTGTAATCCCAGCTACTCAGGAGGCTGAGGCAGGAGAATCCCTTGAACCTGGAAGGCAGAGGTTGTAGTGAGCCAAGATCGCACCACTGCACTCCAGCCTAGACAACAGAGCAAGACTCTGTCTCCAAAAAAAAAAAAAAAAAAAACTATATTAGATGATGGGGCTGGGTACAGTGGCTCACACCTATAATCCCAACACTATGGGAGGCTGAGGCAGGCAGATCACTCAAGGTCAGAAGTTCAAGACCAGCCTTGCCAACATGGAAAAACCTAATTTCTACCAAAAAAAAAAAAAAAAATATATATATATATAGAAATTAGCCAGGTGTGATAGTGCGCACCTGCAGTCCTAGCTACTCAGGAGGCTGAGGTGTGAGAACAGAGATTGTACCACTGTACTCCAGCCTGGGTGACAGAGTGAGACCCTGTCTCAAAAAAAAAAAGAATCTAAATGATGATGTTGAAGCCAGAAATATCCCCCAAAATAAGTTTTTTTGTTTCTTTTTTTGAGACAGAATCATGCTCTGTGGCCCAGGCTGCAGTGCAGTGACACAATCGTGGCTCACTACAGCCCCAACCGCCTGGGCTCAAGCAATACTCCTACCTCAGCTTCCCAAGTAGCTGGGACTAAAGGCACCCACCACATGTCCAGCTAATTTTTGTATTTCTTATAGAGATGGGGTTTCACCATGTTGCTCAGGCTGGTCTCAATCTCCTGGTTCAAGCAATCCACCCGTCTCGGCCTCCCAAAGTGCTGGGATTACAGGTGTGAGCCAATGTACCCAGCTGTGAGTTGCTTTTTGATGGGTATAGAGTTTCAGTTCAGAATGGGGAAAGAGTTCTGGAGACGGGCTGTGGTGATGGTTTCACAACACCGTATTTAATGTACTGAATACACTGAACTGTATACATGAAAATGGTTAAGGTGGGAAATTTTATGCTACATACATTTTACCACAATAAATAAATTAAGATGCTAATGAAATGGTACAAAATATTTGCAACCTATATAATATCTTTGATAAATAACTTTTTTCTTTATTTTTTCCAGGATACGTTTAAGATAAATAACTTTAAAGAGAATTTGCAAAAGAAAAACTGTAAATAGGCCAGGCACAGTGGCTCACACCTGTAATCCTAGCACTTAGGGAGGCCAAGGTGGGTGGATCACCTGAGGTCAGGAATTTGAGACCGGCCTGGCCAAAAAGGCGAAACCCCATCTCTAATAAAATAAAAAAATTAGCCAGGCATGGTGGTGGGCACCTGTAATCCCAACTACTTGGGGGCTGAGGCAGAAAGAATCTCTTGAACCCAGGAGGCGGAGGTTACAGTGAGCCGAGATCATGCCACTGCACTCCAGTTTGGGTCACAGAGAGAGACTCCATCTCAAAAAAACCCAAAAAGTTGTAAATAAAAAATAAGCATATTTCAATATTGAATCTGACATACTAGAATTAAAATGCAAATTAAACTAAAATAAATAATAATATGACTGGGTACGGTGGCTCACTCACACCTGTAATCCCAGCAATTTGGAAGGCCGAGGCAGGCAGATCACCCGAGGTCAGGAGTTCAAGACTAGCCTGGTCAACATGGTAAAAACCTTGTCTCAAAAAAATTAAAATTAAAAAAATAAAAAAAAAATTGCAGAGTCTATCTCATTTAGCACCCGAACTGTAACTCTACTTTTATATTACGTATTAGGGTTTCAAGTAAGATTTGCAAGTTTCTTTTTGAAGGGTTCTGCTTCCCTACCCTACCTTTCCCCACCCGAAAAAAGAAGTGGGGGTAAGAAGGCCTGTTCACCCACTTGGCCAGCACTACACATATCCCCAAGCTTCTAAGAAGCTGACAACCTTTTTCACCTTGTTTCTCAATCCTATTTTTCTTCAAGGGCCAAAGACAAATGAATAAAGCTGGGCTGGTGCACTGGCCAGAATCTTTGCATACGGCCTAGGTCAGGCAGGCACCCTCCATAGAGCCACCTTTCCAGTATCAGGAAGCCCAAAAGGAAAGAAATCCTTTACACGGCAGATTAAAGCCAAGGGAAAACAAACTGTAAAGCAAAAGAACTGACGGCCTTAGCAGGGTCTCAGAGCATCTGCAACAAACCCCCTTTCCATCCCCCCATTAGTACCTGATGATGAAAAGTGGGTCCTCTCGGATCTTGCTGGCCATGTCAAGAAGAGAATTGGCACCTGATGGGGCAAAGATAGAGCCTGGGAGGAGTCCTGTTTCAGAAGAGCAGCCTGCCTCCTTCTCCTCCATCTTCTCAAAAACGTATTTGTCAATGGGGCGCCCCAGCAGGTACTCGTCACGGTTCACCATCCCACCAGGACCTTGGTACATCCAGTCCAACTTTTCTTCTTTCTTCCTGGTTGGAGGGAAGAAAAAGAAATACAACGTCTGTGAAAAAACAGAATTCTGCAAACCTACACAAAAAACCTGAACACAAGGGAGAGAGAATCACAGCTGACCAGAGAACTCATTCTTTTTTTTTCTGGAGATGTTCTTGCTCTGTCACCCAGGCTGGAGTACCGTGGCGAGATCTCGGCTCACTGCCACCTCCACCTCCCGGGTTCAAGCGATTCTCCTGCCTCAGCCTCCTGAGTAGTTGTGACTACACGCGCACAAAATTTTTATTTGTTTTTTAAATTTTATATAAATTTTTTATATTTTTAGTAGAGATGGGGTTTCACCATGTTGGCCAAGATGGTCTTGATCTCCTGACCTCATGATCCACCTGCCTCAGCCACCAAAAGGACTGAGATTACAGGCATGAGCCACCGCGCCTAGCCCAGAGAACTCATTCTACCGGCACCTACCATGGGATAAACACTGCATCCCATGTGGCAGGCATGAAGAAATGATGCAGGTCGAGTATGGTGACTCTGTCACCCAGGCTGGAGTGCAGTGGCGCAATCTCGGCTCACTGAAACCTTCACCTCCCAGGTTCAAGCGATTCTCCCATGTTCAAGCAATTCTACCACTTTAGCCTCCTGAGGAGCTGGGACTACAGGCCCACACCACCAGGCTTGGCTAAGTTTTTGTATTTTTAGTAGAGACAGGGTTTCACCATGTTGGCCAGGCTGGTCTCAAACTCCTGACCTCAAGTAATCTATCCGCCTTGGCCTCACAAAGTTCTGGGATTACAAGCATGAGCCACCATACCCAGCTGGATCCTGTCTTAAAAATTAAAAAAGGCAGCTGGGTGTGGTGGCTCACGCCTGTAGTCCCAGTACCTTGGGAGGCCGAAGTGGGCAGATTACCTGAGGTCTGGAGTTTGAGACCAGCCTGATCAACATAAAGAAACCCCATCTCTACTAAAAATACAAAAAAATTAGCCAGGCGTGGTGGTGGACACCTGTAATCCTAGCTACTCAAGAGGCTGAGGCAAGAGTATCACTTGAACCCGGGAGGTGGAGGTTGCAGTGAGCCGAGGTCTCACCATTGCACTCCAGCCTGGGCAACAAGAACAAAACTCAGTCTCAAAAAATAAAAAAATTTAAAAAGGCCAAGTGACGCTGAAGCTGGAGAATCTTTTGAGCCCAGGAAGTCAAGGCTGTAGTGAGCCATGATTGTGCCACTGCACTCCAGCAAGGGTGACAGACCAAGAACCTGTCTCAATAAAAAAATTAATTAGGCCGGGCGCGGTGGCTCAAGCCCGTAATCCCAGCACTTTGGGAGGCCAAGGCAGGTGGATCACAAGGTCAAGAGATCGAGACCATCCTGGTCAACATGGTGAAACCCCGTCTCTACTAAAAATACTAAAAATTAGCTGGGCATGGTGGCGTGTGCCTGTAATCCCAGCTACTCAGGAGGCTGAGGCAGGAGAATTGCCTGAACCCAGGAGGCGGAGGTTGCCGTGAGCCGAGATCGCGCCACTGCACTCCAGCCTGGGTAACAAGAGTGAAACTCCGTCTCATTAAAAAAAATAAAAATAAAAAAATTAATAATAAATAAATAAAATACATATATACCTTTGCTTCCCACACCCCCTTCTGTTTGGAGGAAATCTGCTCCAGTGGGACTTGTGCCCATCTACCTTTCTTTCTTTCTTTCTTTTTTTTTTTTTTTCTTTTTTTTTTTTTTTTTTTTTTGAGACGGAGTTTTCGCTCTTGTTACCCAGGCTGGAGTGCAATGGCACGATCTCGGCTCACCGCAACCTCCGCCTCCTGGGCTCAGGCAATTCTCCTGCCTCAGCCTCCTAAGTAGCTGGGATTACAGGCATGCGCCACCACGCCCAGCTAGTTTTTTGTATTTTTAGTAGAGACGGGGTTTCACCATGTTGACCAGGATGGTCTCGATCTCTCGACCTCGTGATCCACCCGCCGCGGCCTCCCAAAGTGCTGGGATTACAGGCTTGAGCCACCGCGCCCGGCTCTCTTTCTTTCTTTCTTTTTGGTGATTGTGTTTTCAGTTTGGGGCTTTTTTTCCAGATTTAGGGGGTATATGTGCAGGTTTGTTACATGGATACATTGCAAAACGGTGAGTTTGAGGCTTCTTACGTATCCCATGTCATGTTTATTTATTTAATCCTCTAAACCCCTTCTTTCTTTTTTTTTTTTTTTTTTTTTTTTCCTTTTTTGAGATGAAGTCTTGCTCTGTCGCCCAGGCTGGAGTACAGATTACAGGCGTGAGCCATCTCAGCCGGCTTCTATTTTTTGTTTCTTTGTTTGTCTTCAGATGGAGGCTCACTCTGTTGCCTAGGCTGGGGTGCAGTGGCACGATCTCAGCTCACTGCAACCTCCGCCTGCTGGGTTCAAGCGATTCTTCTGCCTCAACCTCCCGAGTAGCTGGGATTATAGGTGCTCACTACCACTCCCAGCTAACTTTCGTTTTTTGTTTTTTGGTTTTTTTTTGAGATGGAGTTTCGCTCTTGTTACCCAGGCTGGAGTGCAATGGCGCGACCTCGGCTCACCGCAACCTCCACCTCCTGGGTTCAGGGAATTTTCCTGCCTCAGCCTCCTGAGTAGCTGGGATTACAGGCACGCGCCACCATGCCCAGCTAATTTTTTGTATTTGTAGTAGAGACGGGGTTTCACCATGTTGACCAGGATGGTCTCGATCTCTTGACCTCGTGATCCACCTGCCTTGGCCTCCCAAAGTGCTGGGATTACAGGCTTGTGCCACCACGCCGGCCAACTTTCGTATTTTAATAGAGATGGGGTTTTACCATGTTGCTGGTCAGGCTGGCCTCAAACTCCTGACCTCAAGTGATCTGCCCACCTAGACCTCCCAAAGTGCTGAGAGAACAGGCGTGAGCCACTGCACCCACCTAATTTTTTCGGGTTCCTACTGCGTTGCCCAGACTGATAAACTCCTGGCCTCAAGTGATCGACCTGCCTCAGTTTCCAAAGTGCTAGGATTATAGGCATAAGTTGCCATGCCCAGGCTATTTACTTTTAAACAAGAGATGGTCGAGACCATTCTGGTCAACATGGTGAAACCCCGTCTCTACTAAAAATACAAAAAATTAGCAGGGCATGGTGGTGCGTGCCTGTAATCCCAGCTACTCAGGAGGCTGAGGCAGAAGAATTGCCTGAACCCAGAAGGCGGAGGTTGCGGTGAGCTGAGATCGCTCCATTGCACTCCAGCCTGGGTAACAAGAGCGAAACTCTATCTCAAAAAAAAAAAAAAAAAAAAGAAAGAGATGGAGTCTCACTACATTACCCAGACTGGTCTCAAACTCTGGGTCTCAAGTGATCCTCCCATCTCAGCCTCCCAAAATGCAGTGATTACAGGCATGAGCCACCACACCTGGTCCTCAATTTTAGTCTATCTGTTATTTTATTTTATTCTCCTTTTATGAGATGGATAGGGCAGTTATTGTCTGCTACTCCTATCCTATATCATACAACAGAAAATTGGAGCAGGGTAAAATCTAGTGGGATTAGCCATAATCACTCAGCTTTTATTGACAAGCACACTATCCACCTTCTCTTATAGGACCTCACTCCCTGCCCCCTCTCCCTCCAACCCTCAAGCAAGCCTGAAATATGTAACAAAGGCAGGACTGCGGCCTCAACACATACTGAGAATCAGGGTAGAACCACCATTCTCCATCACGGTTATCAGCCACCTACTGTGAACTTGGTATAGCAAGTCCTTACGTGTTACCTCATTTGATCCTCAGCAAACCTTAAGAAGTCACTAGGTATCACTCCCTGGTCCTACTGAGGTAACCAAGTCTCTCAAATGTGATCACAGTTCCACAGCTAGTACATGCAAAACCAACCTTAGACTCCAGATCTGTCTGGCCTCAAAACCCATGCTCTTAAGCACTCAGCTATATACAACTGGATGATGCACCTCAGGCCCACTCTGCAACTCCCTGCACAGCAGACGCCACCGGCTCCCCACTTACTTGACGGCCCCAACATCCTCCGCATAGCGCTGCATCTCTTCCCGGGCCCTCTCTTCTCGCAGCTCCCGCTGAAGCTCCTCAATCTTCTTCCGCTCAGCCTCATGCTTCTGCTCAGCCTTCCACACTTTCTCCACATTCCGGAGGGTCTGTGGGTGCCAGCTCTTCTTTAGATTCTGTAGTAAATGAAAAGAAGGTGATTATACTTCCGGGGTGACTGGGTGATGGCTAAAACTGGCACTGCCTCACCTACCCCTCCATAGCCAAGGCAGGCGTGTGAGGGCAAGATGCCTTCAACAATGGCAAAGTTTTCTTCCAATAATCTCTCACACATCTAGAGGGGAAGGGGAGGTTGTTCAAGTGCATAAAGCTTCAGGACAGGCTGGGCGCAGTGGCGCACACCTGTAATCCCAGCACACTGGAGGCCAAGGCGGACGGATCACTTGAAGTCAGGAGTTCTAGACCACCCTGGCCAACGTGGTGAAACCACATCTTTACTGAAAATACAGAAATTAACTAGGCGTGGTGGCGCATGCGCCTGTAGTTCCAGCTACTTGGGAGGCTGAGGCAGGAGAATCACTTGAACGCCAGAGTCGGAGGTTGCAGTGAGCCAAGACTGCACCACTGCACGACAGCCTGGGCCACAGAGTGAGACTCGGCCTCAAAACAACAACAACAACAACAACAACAACAACAACAACAAAAGCTTCAGGATAGAACAGGACCTTCCGGAGTTCCCTTCAAATAGTTTTAATCTTAAAAGCATACGAGTCACCCTTTCACTAGCCATACCTAAACGAAGTCAGTGGTGGCAAGACAAGAGGAATGGGGCAATGAGCAGGAAGGCACACATTTTGAAGAGGAACAGAACTCGTGCACTGCTGACAATGGACATTCATTCTTTTTTCTTTTTTTCATTTGAGACGGAGTCTCACTCCGTCGCCCAGGCTGGAGTGCAGTGGCACGATCCATGATCTCGGCTCACTGCAACCTCAGCCTCCCAGGTTCAAGCGATTCTCCTGCCTCAGCCTCCTGAGTAGTTGGGACCACAGGCACTTGCCCCCACTCCCAGCTGATTTTTGTATTTTTAGTAGAGATGGGGTTTCACAATGTTGGCCAGGCTGGTCTCAAACTTCTGAACTTGTGATCCGCCCGCCTCGACCTCCCGAAGTGCTGGGAAAGCCAGCCTGGACATTCATTCTTAGGAATTCAGCCTATTTTACCTTGGTCTACTTCACCTGCCCTAAACTTGCAAGATTTACAACCCACCCAGAACCTCTTTCAAAATTTTTTTCCCAGGAATCTCTCCTTGGTTCTGATCTCCCCATTCACCCTCAGAAAACAGTTCTCCTCTCTCTCCTTCCCATCAGATACCGCTTTGGTTCACTTTCCCAATGATGAAAGGTTTCCCAGAGTAAGTAATATCTAAGGACAATTATAAACTAGTCTGGTGATACGTGAACGGGAGACAAAGGAGGTAGATTTCCAAACAGAGGGGAAGAGCACAGACGAGTGCAGTCCCGGTGGTGAGAAAGAACATAGCACAAATAATTCAGTGTGGCTGGATACGTGGCAAGCTGACGGGGCAGGAACACAAGAAGAAGCCAAGTGAGAAAGGAGCAGAATAAGGCCCTTATAAGCCATGAAAAAGGGATTGGACTTAGTCCTATTGATGGCAGGAAACACTAAAAAGTCATATGCAGGTGAGAGGCACTACTAGGTATTGTGTGAAGAACAGACTTACCAGGTGCAGCTCACACCTGTAATCCCAGCACTTTGGGAGGCCAAGGAAGGCAGATCACCTGGGGGTAGGAGTTCAAGACCTGCCTAGTCAACATGATAAAACCCTGTTTCTACTTGTCTCTACTAAAAATACAAAAATTAGCCATGTGTGGTGGTGGGCACCTGTAATCCAAGCTACTTGGGAGGCTGAGGCAGGAGAATCGTTTGAACCCGAGAGGTGGAGGCTGCAGTGAGCCAAGATTGTGCCACTACCGCAGTTCAGCCTGGGCGACAGAGCGAGACTTTGTCTTAAAAAAAAAAAAAAAAAAAAAAAAAAAAGGCCGGGCGCAGTGGCTCACGCCTGTAATCCCAGCACTTTGGGAGGCCGAGACCAGTGGATCACGAGGTCAAGAGATCGAGACCATCCTGGTCAACATGGTGAAACCCCGTCTCTACTAAAAATACAAAAAATTAGCTGGGCATGGTGGCGCGTGCCCATAATCCCAGCTACTCGGGAAGCTTAGGCAGGAGAATTGCCTGAACCCAGGAGGCGGAGGTTGCGGTGAGCCGAGATCGCGCCATTGCACTCCAGCCTGGGTAACAAGAGCGAAACTCCGTCTCAAAAAAAATAAATAAATACGACACTTGGCATGTGGAAAATGTTCACTCAATGAGAGCTCCCTTTTCTTCCTTTTCTCTTTCCCTCCTTGTCCTGCCTGTCCCCTTAGTCGTCATTCAGTTGGTCACACCACCGACCCATCCTTCCATCCTTTCATCCTTCCTTCCTCCCTCTTTCTCCATCCAACCCTTCCCATCTTGTCCTCCCTTCTTCCCTCCCTCCTTCAAGCATAGGTGATTTTGCTTCCCAGGGACAAAAACTTCTGGAGTCCTTTTTGGCTGTCACAACTGGTGGAGACGGGTGGTACTGGCATCCAGTGGCTGGAGGCCAGGGATGCTGCTAAACATCCTGCAATGCACAGGAGGGCCCAACTACCAGCACCACCACACACCCCCAAAGAATTATCTAGGCCAAACCGGCAAGAGTGCTAACACTGAGAAACCCTGGGTTAGAGCTTTCCTGTCCTTAAATGCAGTTACTTGAAGAATGCACTGAATTGGATGAAACCTGAGGGAGTCCCGGCACTAACCGTGGTTAGGAACACATGACTAATAGGTTTACTGGGCAGGCAGCTAAGCTCATCTACTTGCTGATTCAATTAGCTCCACTTTCGGGATGTTAGCATTTTCCCAACCTTGCACCACGCTCTTGTGGGTACATTTACCCTATTTGGGGCCTTAGCCCTTTACAAATGAACGTATCAGTTCAAGATAAATTACCACCTAACTTGTATTAAGTGTTATGAATTCAAAACCAAACTCTGCCAGTACACATCAGAATCCAGCATTGAAGGAGGTGTGGAAGATGGACAGGAAGATCCCTTCAAGCTAAAAAAGGACCCCAGAGCATGGCTAAGGGGGAGGAGAATGGGGCACAAACCACCCATACTTCAGTCCAAGACATGACTCTAAACTCCCACGCAAGGAAAAGACAAGCGTGGTGACATGTCCTCAATATCTGCCTCCCTTCCTAGTCATGGCTCAATCCGTCCCCTTCCCGGTCTTCGCAGAATTTCCAGCCGGTAGGGCTGCTGTCAAAAAACACACAACCACCACCTGTCACTGTTCGCGCCACACCTCGCACCTTCTCAAATCTCAGTTCCAGCACTCCATTGCTTTAAGGATCCATCCCTTCTTTAGGGCAGCAAACCCCTCCCCGCAAAACCAAGGCTGCGTAGCCGTAGTTACCCACTCCTTCCTCTACCCCGACCCCCTGCCAATTTCCGTCTCGGCCTCAGTCCTCCCCCGCCCAGGCCTCCTCCACTCACCAGGTCTCCGCCCCCCATGACGGTGGAGACGATTCCTCACTACGCGGATATGGAAGATTCTAGAGGATCAAGAGGAAATGTAGATAAGTAGCTCAGGGGCTACCTTGCAGGATCTGGTCCCAGGAGCCGCCGACTGCCAGCTTCACCAGCCGATCTAGAGGCTACTTCCGGGAGGGCGTCATCTCGCCGCGTCGACGTCGCGGAACGATGACGTAGCACTCTGTCGCTCTGTGTGACGGTCGCGTCTCGTGCAAATTCCGGAACGTTTCGGGTTCTACTGTCGAGGCTTCTGGGGTCTCATTTTGGCTGCCTCGGGTCACCCCCTTGCCTGATGTCCTGAACTCTCCATTGAAAGGCCATAGTTCTGTTCGGTGATGAGTTGCCTTAGGCCTCTGCCCGCGGTTGTATTGCCATGGCAGCTCACTAGGGCATCCGGTTCAAAGCTGCGCGCACTCTCTCCTAGACCCCAACGTGGACCAGACCAGGCCTCCTCCCCTCACCCCGCACACACTCTCACACTCCGGTTTTCCAAAACGACTTTGCTAACTGGCGCTTTCCTCAAACCTTGACTCACAGCCAATTCCCTTATGCCAGGCCTATTTTATGAAGATAAGATACATAGAAACCATCAAATCGAAATGCCATCAGCTTCCCTGTGCCAAACCTTTAAAATCTGCCTGCTTCCATAGTGGCAGATTTCCCTATAGGGGGAAGCTGGCAGATTCCTTTCCCTTCAGTTTCTATGTGTTTTTGGCGGGTTTTCTTCGTTTTACCTTTTTTTGGTTTTTGTTTTGTATTTTGGGAGTTTTTTGTTTGTTGAGAAGGAGTTTCACTCTTGTTGCCCAGGCTGAAATGCAATGGCACAGTCGCAGCTGACTGCAACCTCCTCCTCCCAGGTTCACGCAATTCTCCTGCCTCAGCCAGCCAAGTAGCTGGAATTACAGGCGCCTGCCACCCTGCCCGGCTAATTTTTGTATTTTTGGTAGAGACGGGGTTTTGCCATGTTGTTCAGACTGGTCTTGAACTCCGAACTCAAGTGATCTGCCCACCTCAGCCTCCCAAAGTGCTGGGATTACAGGCGTAAGCCACCGCGCCCGGCTTTTTTTTTTTTTTTTTTTTTTTTGAGACGGAGTTTTCGCTCTTGTTACCCAGGCTGGAGTGCAATGGCGCGATCTCGGCTCACCGCAACCTCCGCCTCCTGGGTTCAGGCAATTCTCCTGCCTCAGCCTCCCGAGTAGCTGGGGTTACAGCCGTGTGCCACCATGCCCAGCTAATTTTTGTATTTTTAGTAGAGATGGGTTTCACCATGTTGACCAGGATGGTCTCGATCTCTTGACCTCGTGATCCACCCGCCTCAGCCTTCCAAAGTGCTGGGATTACAGGCGTGAGCCACCGCGCCCGGCTATTTTTATTTTTGTAGCAACAAGGTTTTGCCATCTTGCCCAGGCTTGTCTCAAACTCCTGGAGTCAAGCAATCCTCCTGCCTCAGCCTCCTAAAGTGCTTGGATTACAAGGTGTGAGCCACTGCACCCAACCCGTTTTGTAATTTTCAGAATAGAAGTTTTGAACATCTTTTGTTTTTTTTTGTATTTTGTTGTATTTTTTGTGATGCTACTTTATTTATTTATTTATTTATTTATTTATTTAGAGACGGAATCTCACTGTCGCCCAGGCTGGAGTGCAGTAGCACGGTCTCGGCTCACTGCAACCTCCACTCCCAGGTTCAAGCAATTCTGCCTCGGCCTCCTGAGTAGCTGGGATTACAGGCATATGTCACCATACTCGGTGACATAAAAATATAAAAATATAACAATTTTTATATTTTTAATAGAGATGGGATTTCACCATGTTGGCCAGGCTGGTCTCAAACTCCCGAATACAGCCACCCAAAGTGCTGGGATTACAGGCATGAGCTACTGCTCCCATCGAAGCTATTTTATTTTATTTATTTCTTTTGAGATGGAATTTCACTCTGTTGCCCAGGCTGAAGTGCAGTGGTGCGATCTCAGCTCACTGCAACCTCTGCCTCCTGGGCTCAAGCGATTCTCCTGCCTCAGCCTCCCAAGTAGCTGGGACTACAGGCATGTGCCACCAAGACCTGCTAACTTTTGTATTTTTAGTAGCGATGGGATTTCATCATGTTGGCCAGGCTGATCTGAAACCCCTGACCTCAGGTGATCCACCCACCTTGGCTTCCCAAAATGCTAGGATTACAGACACCTGGCCTGTGATGTGATTTTAAACAAAATTTTTAAAATTTTATTTTCCAATTGTTTGCTACTAAAAGGTAAGAACATACTGGCCGGGTGCGGTAACGCCTGTAATCCCAGCACTTTGGGAAGCCGAGGCGGGCAGATGACGAGGTCAGGAATTTGAGACCAGCATGACCAACATGGTGAAACCTCATTTCTACTAAAAATACAAAAATTAGCCAGGTGTAGTGGAACACACCTGTAATCCCAGCTATTCAGGAGGCTGAGGCAGGAGAATTGCTTGAACCCAGGAGGCAGAGGTTGCAGTGAACCGAGATTGTGCCACTGCATTCCAGCCTGGGCAACAGAGGGAGACTGCATCTCAAAAAATAAAAGAACATGCTTTTTAGTAGTAACCTTGTATTTTACAGTCTAAATTCACATATTAGTTCCTATGACTATTTTTTTTTTTTTTTTTTTTTGGGACGGAGTCTCACTCTTGTCTTGTTGCCCAGGCTGAAGTGCAGTGGTGCAATCTCAGCTCACTGCAATCTCTGCCTCCTGGGTTCTAGGGATTCTCCTGCCTCAGCCTCTCGGGTAGCTGGGATTACGGGTATGCGCCACCACGCCCGGCTAATTTTGTATTTTTAGTAGAGACGAGGTTTCTCCATGTTGGTCAGGCTGGTCTCGAACTGCCAACCTCAGGTGATCCACCTGCCTCAGCCTCCCAAAGTGCTGGGGTTACAGGCATGAGCCATCGCGCCTGGCCTTCTTATGGCTTTTTAAAAACACTTACTAAATATTGAGAAAATAACCAAACATAAAAAATACTTATTAAATATTTACTAACATTGATTTGAATAAAGTTTACTTTTTTTTTTTTTTTTTTTTTTGAGACGGAGTTTCACTCTTGTTACCCAGGCTGGAGTGCAATGGCGCGATCTCGGCTCACCGCAACCTCCGCCTCCTGGGTTCAGGCAATTCTCCTGCCTCAGCCTCCTGAGTAGCTGGGATTACAGGCACGCACCACCACGCCCAGCTAATTTTTTTGTATTTTTAGTAGAGACGGGGTTTCACCATGTTGACCAGGATGGTCTCGATCTCTCAACCTCGTGATCCACCCGCCTCGGCCTCCCGAAGTGCTGGGATTACAGGCTTGAGCCACCGCGCCCGGCCTTGAATAAAGTTTACTTTAAAAAGAAAAGCAGGCAGGCGGGGAGCCGTGGCTCATGCCTGTAATTCCAACACTTTGGGAGACCAAGGTGGGCAGATCACTTGAGGTCAGAAGTTTGAGACCAGCCTGGCCAACATGGTCAAAGCCCTGACTCTACTAAATTAGCTGGGCATGGTGGCGGGTGCCCATAGTCCCAGATCCTCAGGAAGCTGAGGCAGGAGAATCGTTTTAACTCTGGAGGAGGAGGTTGCATCAAGCCAAGATCGCGTCACTGCACTCCAACCTGGATAATAGAGCAAGACTCTGTCTCAAGAAAACGAAACAAAACAAAAAACAGGCTTACTCTTGTAGTCCCAATATTTTGGGAGGCCAAGGCAGGTTGATGACTTGAGCCCAGCCTGGGCAACGTGCTGTACTCCCAGCTACTCAGGAGGCTGAGGTGAGAGATTGCCTGAGCCCAGGAGGCAGAGGTTGCAGTGAGCCGCTACTGCACTCCAGCCTGGGCAACAAGAGCAAAACTTTGTCTCAGAAATAAATAAATAAATAAATAAATAAATAAATAATAAGCCAGGCATTGTGGCTCATGCCTATAATCCCAGTACTTTGGGGGGCCAAGGCAGGCAGATCATGAGGTCAGGAGATCAAGACCATCCTGGCTAACATGGTGAAACCCCATCTCTACTAAAATTACAAAAACTTAGCCAGATGTGGTGGCACATGCCTGTAGTCGCAGCTACTTGGGACACTGAGGCAGGAGAATCACTTGAACCCAGGAGGCAGAGGTTGTAATGAGCTGAGATGGCACCACTGCACTCCGCCTGGGTTACAGAAAGAGACTCCGTATCAATAAAGTAAATTTAAAAATAAATAAATAGGCCAGGCATGGTGGCTCACGCTTGTAATCCAAGCACTTTGGAGGCCAATTCGGGCGGATCACCTGAGGTCGGGAGTTCAAGACCAGCCTGACCAACATGATGAAACCCTGTCTTTATTAAAAATAAATAAATAAATTAATTAATTAAAAGCCAGCCGGGCACGGTGGCTCAAGCCTGTAATCCCAGCACTTTGGGAGGCCGAGGCGGGTGGATCACAAGGTCGAGAGATCGAGACCAACCTGGTCAACATGGTGAAACCCCGTCTCTACTAAAAATACAAAAAATTAGCTGGGCATGGTGGCGCGTGCCTATAATCCCAGCTACTCAGGAGGCTGAGGCAGGAGAATTGCCTGAACCCAGGAGGCGGAGGTTGCGGTGAGCCGAGATCGCGCCATTGCACTCCAGCCTGGGTAACAAGAGCGAAACTCCGTCTCACAAAAAAAAAAAAAAAAAAAAAAAAAATTAAAAGCCAGGCGTAGTGGTGCATGCCTGTAGTCACAGTTACTGGGGAGGCTGAGGCAGGAGAATTGCTTCAGCCCATGAATTTCAGGCTGCAGTGAGCCATGATCATGGTACTACATTCCAGCCTGGGTGACAGAGTGAGACCCTCTCTCAAAAAAAAAAAAAAAAAAAAAAAGATGTAATAAGCAATAAGCAATGGCACGATCTCAGCTCACTGCAACCTCCGCCTTCCAGGTTCAAGTGATTATTTTGCCTCAGCCTCCCGAGTAGCTGGGAATACAGGCATTTGCCACCACGCCCAGCTAATTTTGTTTTTCAGTTTTTTGTTTTTTGGCGTTTTTTTAAGTAGAGACAGGGTTTCTCCATATTGGTCAGGCTGGACCCAACCTCAGGTGATCTGCCCACCTCGGCCTCCCAAAGTGCTGGGATTACAGGCGTGAGCCACTGTACTCGGCCCCCTTTTTTTTTTTGGCGGTGGGGGT